CAGACGGGCGACCCGCAGCCGCGGCGGCGGCGGCGGCGAGCGCTCGGCGGCGGCCTGGCTGCCCACCACCACCCCACCCCACCACCACCACCACGGGTGGCAATGCAGCTGGCGGGGCAGCCTGATCCCTCCCCCCAAGCACAACACAAGAGGGGGCAAACAATGCAAACAGAAGCAGGGGCGGCAAGGGAGCAGCAAGGGAAGGCAGCCCAGCCCACCTCCTTCTCCACGGTGGAGTGTGTGAGCATGTAGATGGGGAAGTTGATGAACTCGGAGTAGCGCTGCACCAACTCCTTGAGCTTGTCCTCCTGCAGGTACTCCTGGCACGACTCCTGCGGTACGGTACCGGCGGTACGGGTGGCAGGGGCCGGCGGTGGTTACATAACGATTCGTCGGCGGGGCGCGCCGGGGAGGCTGCTGAAGCAGCCGGGCGGCCGGGTGGGCGGCACGGTGCGGCAGGGAGCGGCAGGGAGCGGCAGCGGGCGGCAGGCGGGCGCCTGGGGCAGCTCGGGCAGGCGCCGTCCATGCAGAGGCGCTGCAGGGTGGCGAGCACGCCGACGCCATACCTTGAGGTAGATGTTGATCTGGGTGCCGCGCCCCAGCGGCGCGCCCTCCGTGTCCTCGCTCACAGCAAAGGAGCCGTCGGCCTTGGACTCCCACACATACCTGCGGGGGGCATAGCGGGGGACGGCGACGGCGGGTCAGCGAGGCATTTGGATCGCGGGACAGCAGGGTGGGGAGGCACGTCAAGTGTGCCGGCCGTTGCGCACAGCCCGCGATGCCCGCTTCCCTCTGCCGCCGCGCCTCCTGCCCGATCCACGCCACCGCCACGCATCACACGGCCGCCAGCCATCGCACAGCACAGCAGCACAGCACAGCACAGCACAGCACGCACAGCAAGCCACCACACACACTCCCCCAGCGGCCACCCCACCACCCGGCCACTCACTGCTTGTCGTCATTGTGCTTGGTCACCACCTCCACATAGTCCGCCACCAGGTAGACGGAGTAGAAGCCGACGCCAAACTGCGTGCGGTACGGGGCGGTACGGGCGAGGAGCAGAGCGGCGCGATACGGCATGAGGCGGCGGGGCGGCATGCGGGGGTGTGTGGCACGAGAACGGAGCCGCCGGCGGCAGGCGGCTGGCACGGGCGTGTGCCACAGTGCAGAGGAGGGTGCCGGCAGCCGGTGTTGAAAAAGAAAGTAAGAAGGCCTGCCCATGCGCCCCACCTGGCCGATGAGGTTGAGGTCCCCGCCCTTCTGCATCTGCTCCAGGAAGGCTGCGGCAGGGGGGAGGGGGCAGCACAGCAGGGGGCTGGCTGGTTGATGGGACGTGGGGTGAGCTGCGCCGCACGCCGCACGCCGCACGCGCCCGCAGCCTGCTTCCACCGCCCCACCC